AAAAAAAAAAAAAAAAAAACTAAAAATAAATTCAGATTTTAAGTACTGTGAATAAAGCCGAAAAAATATTAAACAAAAAAGCGTTTCCAAAGGTTTTTTTGTTTGGACAACTTCAATTTAAAATATCAAGAACTTCCTCTTAATTTACTTGACTAAACCGTACAAAGTAAGTGCTTAAATTACTAAAATAATACATTTAAAAAAAAACAAATGAAAAATTTACATTTATTATTTTCTTTTTTTTTCAAGAACAACATTTGAGAAGTGTTAGATTGAAGATAATTTGCTAAAAGTGATCCATCTGAAGAATCGGTAGTAAACCAATTTCCCTTCTTGTCAAGATAAATACCCAACAGAGCTGTTCTTCCAACATCACGAAAAGTTTTTAAAGCGGCTTCTGTAAATTTCTATTTGTAGTAAACTGGTTCTACGCTATTATTTTGAAAAAAAAATTCTCCCTGTTATCAATAGATGTTTCGCAAAACACCCTAATACAGTAAGCAAATTTTTATAACATTAAAAAATTCACCAAGCAAATAACCTTTCTGTCAATTCATCACCTAATTGTCTGTGATAAACAGATTATGCTTCAGAATCTGGTTACTGTTTTTTATCAACCAACTTTTTTTAAGGTTAATTTTAAAAAACGAAAAAAAAACTGTAAAACAATAAAAAATCATAGAAAAAACGATTAAAAAAGAAATTTTTCTCTTAATTAATTTGGCTTTTTGTACTGATTTTTTCATCAGTTTTAGCTCAGAAAATAACAACTGAATAGGACCACAGAAGCATAGAAATCAATCAGAACTATCATCCAACAATTCATTCCCTTTTTGCCTATGGTCCTTAAGTCGAGGCGGTCTTATACGAGGTGAACAATCTTAGAACTGTTTTTTGAAGTCAATGTACGCATCATTTACTTGATTAGTCTCTTTCTACTTGTCGACTATCTTTTAGGATAATGATAGTAGCAAGCAAATTATTTAGGTGCTTCTTAGTTGGGAAACTACAGGCAGGCTATGCCCAAAAGAAGACGAGACAGCAACAAGCGGGAGTGATGAGAATGGTAAAGAAAACAGCAGTACAGCGAAACCAAATGGAGCTATACTTTAATAGATAAAAACTTTTCGAGGAGTATTCACCAAAAATTTTAATTATCTTTTGAAAAATTAATTGTTTCTGCTTTACTGCAGCGAATTTTTAAACCTACCTACAATAATCAAAAGAAGATTTCTTTAAAAACTCTTAACTTGCTCATTTTTGAATAAGATGGTCTATTACAAAAGTATAAAAAATTTATCAATAAGGAACAAACGTCTAAACAAACTTGAAAGTGTCACAAGGTCTTCAAAACTTTTTATGGTCAACAGGTGACCTCCAGCATGTTGTTGGCAAAAGTCTTCTGCAGATTCCACTATGCATTTTGCGCTCGTTGTGCAGCTAAGTGTAGTCTGCCATGAAAGTGGTGTGTCTGATAACTAAATTTTTTTTAATTAAAAAAAAAAAAATAACAAACACTTATCAAATTGGCAGTTAATAGTTTATTCGTTAATTATATTAAATGAAAAAAAAGGTTTTCTAAAAACAACTTTTTTGCACTGTTATAATAAAATAAAAATTATAAAATTTTAGACGTAATTATGTATTAGTTAAAAGAAGAAATAAACTATTTACAATTTGTCTAAGTTTTATAGTTTAGTATACTGTGCTTAAACAGACATATTTTGTTTAATTAATATTAGAGTCTAATTTGAATCTGTTGAGCAACTTACCTTATAGGTAATGAGAGCAAATGCATCAGGATCTTCTTCATTCCTTTGAAAAACCTTTACATAATCAGTGAAAAAAAGTTTATAAATAGCTGAACTTTCATCTAAAGAACAGAAAAACCGTTTTTTTCTATTTTTATTACTTGAACAAGACATTTTTTTTTTTTATTTTTGAAATAACTGATTGAAAATATTGTGCTGAAACTAAAAAGGCAAGTCTTTTTTAAATAAGAAAACTGAAAAGTACTACGGTATGTGTAAAATGTAAACAATAGAAAATTTAGTTGGTTGACTTACGGAAATCTTGATATCCCTAAAATTAAACTGAATAAATGTTTTTTTAGAGGTTTTTTGATTGTTAATGTAAAATTCACATTTATACTGAAAATGCTGTAATCAGGTGAGCAAAAAAAAAAAAAACGTCCTCAAAAATACTCAGTATCAGCTGTATATTACAACAGTATTACTGATATAGAGAAAACCGTTTAAATGGGTTTTTCAGATTAAAAAAGGTTACAGAAATGCAGAGTTTACTGCTGCTAAAGGAATATTAATTAAAATATTACTGTCTGATGAAAGAAAATTTTTTTAGGAAAATGACACTGAAAAATTTATGAGTTCAATCAGACTGTAAAAAAAAATCTTTATTATTGCAAAATGGAAATTAAGGCGACTATAAACCGTATAACTAATTACGCTAATCAGCTAAATTTTAGATTCTTTTTTTAGGTTTATTGCTAATAGTTTCTCAGTTTCAAGTCTGAAAAGAAAAAATATTCTTTTTACTTCTGCTATGTAATACAACTATGCCATTTGATTGATATAATTACAATCATATCAAAAAATTTGCATTCATTTGCAGGTGTGTAATTTGGTACGGATTTTGAGCTGTAACTAAGATGACACGGTATCAGCAGAATATTAATGAAATCTCCAAATTTGTCAGCAAATTAGTCAGTAAATCTTAGTTCAGATACATCTGTTGGGTGAGTTGATAAACTAATGTTTGACTAAAACTTACCGCTAGTTTTTCAGGAATTTCAAAATAACACATAACTTTTCTTCGTTTTTTATCACATTTTTCAGGCATTAGTACAATTCTAACAGAATTATCTGAAAAAAAAAAACTTATATTTACATAAGTTGACAAAAAAAAAAGTTTTTCATTGTCTTTTAAAAAAATTTTAATGCTTTGAAAATGTGCCTTTTTTGTTTGTGCTTTTTAATTAAATGATAATAGAAGTAATAATAAACAAAAAAAAAAAA